CCTTAAGGCCAAGGACGGAGGCAAGGCCCCTGGCGGTCGCGGTCCCGGTGCGCGGGAGGGTCGGGCTGTGGTTTCCCCGGGCCCAACGGGTCCCCCGCTGTGCGCAGGAGAAGTGCATGGACAAGCCGGGGCCAAAGCTGGACAGCCGGGCCGAGACGTGCTTCGTGAACTGCGTGGAACGCTTCATCGACACTAGCCAGTTCATCCTGAACCGGCTCGAGCAGACGCAGAAGTCCAAGTCGGCCTTCTCCGAGAGCCTCTCCGACTGAGCAGGAACCGTGCCCCGGGGGACACCGGCCAGCCCCCCACGTGGCCGGGCCCTCCACCGCGCCAGCTCCTGGCCACTCTGCCGCGTGAACGAGCCAGTCAGCTCTGGGGTTTAGGATTTAATTAAATGCCAGTCTTGGGGAAGTTGCAGCCAGATGAGAGCCCACGACAGAGGCACAGTTGCTCCGCCTCGGGGTGATGGGGCACTCCCACCCCCGTGGGCCAATAGCCGTCTTTGTGCTGGGACTCCAGGGCTACTGATGCTCCATGGGGAGTATGTGGAACTCTCACGCTCAGCTGAATGGAGGGGTGAGGATGTTTGCATCAGGGGGTGCTCCCAGCGCTGATGGGAATCTTGGCTCTGGGCGAGGTCAGCCTGCGACTGCTCACTTAAAGGGTGCTGCACAAAACCAACCCTCCTGGGTAGATGCTAATAGGCCCTGCAGGTGCCGTCACTGTGCAGTGTGGTACAGGTACCCTTTGCCAGAAGAGGTTTTGGGCACAGTGATCATCTGAGGCCCTGTCACTACTGGAAAATACCTTCAGGCTTCCATAGGTAAATCATTCATGTGGCCAAGTGACAGATTTTCAGATTGCAGCACAACTCTGTCAATACTGACTTGCTCCATTAACTGCTTTCCCCTGGTCAATGTAATAAATATTAACTGGGTCAATTTTTAACATGAGATTCTCCTTTGTTCAGGTAGATGACCACTGAGAATTGAAAATCTGGCCTTCTTGTCACTCCCCCTCCTTCCCAGGAATCCCGTTTATTGCAAAATTAGTAGGGAGAGGGCATAATTGTCTTCTGTCTAGAATGTCTGCTCTGAGTTTGGGTTTGTTGCTCAATTAATTCGGTCCCATGAATCAAACTTGTTTCTGGGAGAGGCTGTGGCTTTTCCTCCTCTTTTCCAAAAGGTTAACAGTTCCTGCTGTCCTGTAAAGGTGTAGTTTCTTTAGAGAGACTAAATGCAGGAAATAAGTAACCAGCTACTTCATAACCTCATGCGCCTTTACCTGTGGAGATCACTGGAAAGAGGCCTCTGGCTGTGTCTTCTGGGCCTCTGCCCCCAGGACAGAGGAGCTTCTAAGTGGATAAACAGAGGACTGATCCACCCTCTGGAAAGGCAGCCCAGCATTTCAGCAGTGTTTACATACAGCACAGCTCTGGGAAGCCTGGAGCCACCCCCTGACCATGTCTTGGGACCTCTACACAGGAACCTGGTAAAGCAGTTCTGCACGCGCCAGTGTGCCGTGGGTGGCTGCACAGGGCACCCGAGTTCCCAACACAGGTGGCCGGTAGCTAGGCAGCCTTCCTGGGAACGAATGCAGGATCTGCTAAGCAGAGCTATGCAGATACAAAACCCACGTTAAGCGAGGACACAGCTGTCTAGTTATCTTTCAGAAACTTACCTCAGTAGCTAAGGACTCCGGTCACTCCTGTTCCCAGAGTAAGCAATTCCCTCTCCTGTCCCTATCAAGTTTCTCTCAAGCAGCCTCCTGCCCCTAGAATCCCTTACAACTTTCAGTGCTGGCTCAGTTCTTTGTACAAATGTATCACTAGCCACTTGGTAACTGAACAAATGGGGTTTTAATAGAATATGTAAGCAGGTGCTTCATCAACCTGCACAGCAGACGTTGTGTGAAGGGGTTGCTCCCTCCGTAAGAGCCACAGCAGCATGTGGCAGTGCCACTGAAGTTTTCGAGTTTTGGCTGTATTCTGTTCTTGGATATGAATCTGTAAATAAATTCTAGCAGAGTGAGCAAAACAAGTACTTGACAGAGGAATTTTTGAATTAATATTCTGGGTCTGTCATCTTTAAAGCCAGACATCCATCTTCTCTCCATGTAATCTTAGCGCAATGTTAGATTATTTTCTAACTGTTAATCTTCTAAGTATACTTTTAAAAAATGCTGTGAGGCCTCCCCAAATGCGTGGTCTTCACATTCAGTAAGGGTTAGCACTGTGTTAGTGCTGCAGCCCTCTCCACAGCTGAAGTGAAGAGGCTCTGGTTTCCAGGAACTGGGTGGTTCCCGGGGCTCCTGCCCATAGCCACAGGAGGCTGCTGTCCCTGCCAGCTCCCTGCAGCAGCAGGTCACCCATCGTACCTAGGACAGGTAACTGCCAACTCCTGCTACTGCAGCAGTGTCTAGCAGCAGCTGAGGCAGCTTGTTCAACCTTGCAGTAGAACTGGCCAACAGTGGGAGCAGAAAGCTAGCAGTTTAGAGGCTTCCTCACACACTTTTGCCTTCCTCCTCCTCTTCCTCCTCTGTGCTCTGAGAGCCTTTGTCCTCTGAGGGCAGAAGAGGCTGGTGCTGACATGCCTGATGTCTGTCTGCACTCATCCACGAGGCATGCAGGTCGGCCCTTCCTTGCTGCAGGAAGAGGGGCAGAAGGTTGGGGCTGAAGGGCATGTCCCTGAAGGCGTGCAGGAGAAAGATGCCAGACACGATGGTGAGGAAGCCACTGATGGTGCCAATGATGTTGTCTAGCACCATGTGTTGCCACTCCTTGAAGAGGATGGCAGAGCACATCATGACTGCTGTGGTGAACAGCACATAGTACACGGGTGTGACCACAGAAGTGTTGAAGATGTCCAAAGCTTTGTTCAGGTAGTTGATCTGGATGCTGATGCAGATCACCAGGCACACCAGGAGCACCCAGCCCAGTGGTTCTGAAAGAACTGGCTTCCCAGAAAACAGTTCTTTCAGGGCAATCCCCAAGCCTTTGACACAGGACACAGAAAGTGAGCCGATGGCAGAGCAGACCAAAACATAAACCAGGACGTTGCTCTGTCCATAACGGGGTCCAGCCACAAAGATAAGCAGAAGGGAGCTCACCAGGACACACAGAGCAAATACAATGAATCCTTGGGGAAAGAAGAATTAAAGAGCTCTATTAGAGAACAGTAGCACCAGTAGCAGATATAATTGAACAGCAAATAGAGACTGAGGACAGGTGGGTAACTGCCCCATCAGTCTGTCTTTAGTTTCCACCTGTGGGGACCGCAGTGGGGAAGCAGAGCTGGTCTCCAGCCTGAACAAAGTTGCAGAGACAACAGCAGCTCTTTACAGTGCTGATCACAGCACTGCCTAACAAGTCAGCCTGTCAGGGGATAAAGCTGCCCCTCCTGGAAGGGGGTAGGGGCACAGCCAGTTGCTACAGCACTGGAAGAGGTGGGGGGCTTGCTGACGAGGAAGACAAGGGAGCACACAGCTCTGCAGGAGACCCAGGGCAGGGGCAGAAGACTTGGGAAGCCCTAGCTGAGCTCTGCAGGCTGTGGTGGGATAAAGAGGAAAGTGCCACATTGCAGGAGCGCAAGGCCCTGCCAGAGTGCTCCCTCCAGTGAGCAGCAGCATCTTCTTTTTAATCTGCTTTACTCTTCTCCCTGTGCCTCCTTCATTTCCTGGGGCTTATTCTGCCATTCATGCTATTGCCCAAATCATATCCTTGCAGCATGACTCACCCTCTAACATAAATATCGGGACTTCTTGATCTTGAGCAGTCTTGAATCGCTCATTCATCTTTGCCTGAAGTTCCTCCTCTATCTTGCTTCAGCCACATCCTTGCCACCCTCATGTACAGGAATTCCCTCTCCTATCACGGCACTGCCACAGGCCAACCCCTTCTGCTGACAGCTGCAGCTATCCCATGCTCTTCCCTTTTTGCATCAATACCTCATAGACAGTACAAAAAAAAAGCACACTTGGTAACTGTTTATGACCCAAGTCTTCACTCTTGCTTTGGCACAGATGCAGCAAATTGGGAGCATCACCCACACTCCCTCTGCGAAGTGGGGTGCCTGTTTGCTGCTTCCATCTGGTGTTAAGAGGACCTGACAGTCCTACAAAGCCATTCTGAATCTGACATGTCCCTCTGTGTTTTAAGCTAGTTAATAGTGTAAATCCTCTGAGCAAGTGCATTAAACGCTGTTTGACTGCCACCAATCTTTCACATTTAGAGCGTGGAGACTCCAGCCTTTTTCCACCACAGAAGGCAACCTAGAAGCTATCCTGGACACAGGAATACTTCCTCCACTGGTGCACAGAACAAGAAACAGCTCAATCACCCTTTAGTTCAGTCCTTCCCAACCTAGCCAAGTTGTATCCTACCTTCCACTGTCATTTCCAAGCCTGAAGTTGACAGGACCCCTTTTAAGTACCTGGATCTTTCAGCTTCTCTGCCATTGACTCAAGGCTGGAAACGCCTTCTTCCTGCGGAGCATGGATCACCATCACTGTGGATCCCAGAATACACAGGATGCAGCCAATCTTCCCATGAACATTCAGCTGCTCATTCAAGAAAGTGGAAGACAGAACTGCACTGAAAGATAGTGAAATAAACCCAGAACCAATTAGACCAAGAGATGGAATACCTGAGGGAAGAGACATAGAAAGCAGAGCAGCTGCTTTCACCACTGAGAGGTGGTAGGTGAGGTAAGGGTGATTCCAAGGCTGCTTACCTAACAAGGACACTTAGAGCACCCAGGGGAGTTACCAGTGTTGCAGGAGCAAAGGCGTAGGCAGCAAAATTTGCTGCTTCTCCAACTCCCACTGCAGGAGAAACACTGTCAGGTAAGCATCAAAGTAGGAGCAATTCAGCATTATATAAGTTTGAGTGCAGTCAGAAGAAAGCCTCAATTACCACCTGAGCATCCCGTGTTTCTCTGAGGTGTGTGGGGTAACCAGGAAAGAACAAGAAGCCTGATACAGGTTCTCTTGGGAGGAGAAGGCTTGTGGTTACACATGGTGATCCTTAGTCACACGTGGCTATGCAGCTGAGCAGTAACCACAGAAAAGTATTTCCATGATGTCCTCAAAGTTGAAAGGAGTTTTGGCACTTTTCATATTTATAAGTCATGTTCTTCCCCTGGAACACCTTTTACAGCTTTTTAAAGGGTAAATCAAGTACAATTGGTTGTTAATCTTGAAAGGTGTAAGTTAGAGCTGCTAAAAGCACTGTAGCCCTAAACCCCCCAGTGCTGATGTGCCATTGTAACTGCATCATTTGGGCAGACTGTTTCAGAAGTACTTAACCCAACCCAGTTAGACCAACTCCTGTTTAGCAGAGAAACCTGGTAATGCACAAGAGTTCAGAATATTTGTTATAATTACATCAACGACATTCTCGGACAGATAAAAAGCAAACAACGATGTAATAATAAAATATGAAAGCAACTGGGAACAATGACAAACAAACTCTTAAGTGTGTCTTGCTCTGAACCTGCAGCAGGTACTTACTGCACAGCAGCCCTGCCCACCAAAGCCATTCCTGCAGGTACGCGTGACCTCCTTGTCCTAAGCGAGGGAGAAAGAGTGAGAAGAAACCTGAAATGAAGCTCACTGAAAAGGCTCATTATCCTGCCGGAGCTGCCTCGGGGAAGCAAGCAGGGCTGCCTGATCTCCCGGCACAGCCTGATCTCACACACCGGCCTGGCCCAGACCTGGGCAGGCACCCATTACTTTTACACTAAAAGCAAAGATTTTATCCCCTGGTTCTCCCGAGTTTGAAACGCAGCAGTTTCAAAAAAGCGTGAGCACTTCTAGAAACGTGTTTTTGTTGCCTATCCCTGTGCAAAAAGCCTTCTCTGAGATCAAAAAGCCCGACCAACAAGGAGGGGGGCGGCCAGGGCCCAGCGCTGCCCGGGCCCGAGGCTGATGAACGCGGCTCCGGGGGCAGCGGCGGCCCAG